CAGGAATGCTGGAGGGAAAGGCCTGCTGAGAACTACAGCTCTCCAGAGGTACCAAGCCCCCCCTCAACCTGCCAGGAGAACAACCAAGCTACCAATGAACAGCTCTTGCTTTGCTGACTGACTTGAAGGAAACAAAAGCCTCCAAGGTTAAGTGCCCAAATCACTTCACTATCTGTATCAGAGACATCTGAAGTGGACAAAGACATTCAGCATTTCTAGAAGAACACAGAATATCATACCCATGTCAAATTTTATTTCCCTGCTGTAATCACACAATCACATGAAATGCAAAAGCAGGCAGACTGCAAAGTACTCCCATTGAGATTCCTAAAGAAACCATTTAATCTGCAGAAGTCTGTCCTGTACCTGCTGTCTGACCTTCCAGCAACCAACCACCTACCACCAACCACCTTGTACAGCTCAGTGGTATCTATGCCTGGGATGAACTCCTGGGGAAAGGAGACTGAAATTCTCAGAGCAGAAGCTCCTCACTATAACCAAGCCTGACATGGCATCCCATCACCAGCTCACAGAAACACTTAAAGATCATTAGGTTCCAACCCCCTGCACGGGCAGGGACACCTCCCACCAGCCCAGGCTGCTCCAAGCCCCATCCAACCTGCCCTTCAACACTGCCAGGGAAGTATCTGCAATCTTAGATTGCCAATAATTTTCTTCATGAACTTAAGAAAAACGAATTTGAGGTGCAGCACAAAATAATTTGCCATGGAAGTTTTCAGGCTCCAGAAACTTCTGTACTGAATATATTAATTAAGTTTTAATGTAAAAATCTGCATCTTGAAATTCTAGAAACATACCTAGAGAGCCTGATTTAAAACATCTCATGGCAGGTATTGGAGAAAGGTTTTCAAGTTGTGCCTAGAAAGACAGCATTACATTTGCCTTTTTTTTTTTTTAATAACACCAGAACAAATAAATCCCTGACAACTGTATGACAGAATATTGCTCACAGCTGAGCTCCCCAGCATCTCAACAAGGCAGCTCTTTCCCAGTGTAGCACAAGCCAACTCTGCATTTTTTTCTTCAGAAGGAAAAATGTTTCTGCTACTGGAAAAATCAGGTTGCAGTGTTCTCATGCCAGAACCTTTTTGCCTTTCTTCCTCTTCCCCACAGAGTGACTAAATCCACCCACTTTCCTATTTATTTCAGCCATCAACACAAAAGCTCATAAAACAAGGTCAAGCCAATCTCAAGAAAGTAGTAGATTTGTGCAAGTGAGACCCTCCTCCCACTCACCAGAGAGGAGATATTGCTCAGCAGATAAGATTTGGTAAAGAAGGAGCCCATTAAATACATGGGTCTAATTATGGAGTATTGAACAGAGGCTCTCCTGGAGTGACATATCATAGAATCATGGAATGGTTTGGGTTGGAAGGGACCTCCAAGATCATCCAGATCCAACCCCCCTGCATGGGCAGGGACACCTCCCACCAGCCCAGGTTGCTCCAAGCCCCATCCAACCTGCCCTTCAACACTGCCAGGGATGGGGCAGCCCCAGCTTCCCTGGGCAACCTGGGCCAGGCTCTCACCACCCTCACACTCCACAATTTCCTCCTCATGTCTCACCTCAATCTCCCCTCCTCCAGTTTTCATCCATCCCCCCTTGTCCTCTCCCTCCCTGCCCTTGTCCCAAGCCCCTCCCCAGCTTTCCTGGAGCCCCTTCAGACCCTGGAAGGTGCTCTAAGGTCTCCCTGGAGCCTTCTCTTCTCCAGGCTGAACACCCCAACTCTCCCAGCCTGTCTCCAGAGCAGAGCTGCTCCAGCCCAAGGATCATCTCTGTGGCCTCCTCTGGCCTCTCTCCAGCAGCTCCATGTCCTTCCTGTGTTGGGGGCCCCAGAACTGGACACAGTGCTCCAGGTGATGTTTCATATGGTGGCAGCACTACATGTCTAGCCTAAGCCTGGCTTCCCAGACTTTGCTCCTGGCAATGACAGCAGCTGAACCCAGACATGCTGAGGGTTTTGCTGCCTGCTTGGGTAACATTCAAACACCACAGACTCGAGTCTCTTCTCTAGGACTTTTTTTTTTCCTTTTAAAAAAAGAAGCTAGGAAGGAACTGATGAGTCACAGAGCTGAATATTGTGCAACAGATTTGCATGTGTGAAGGAAAAATACAATGAATACCTAAAAATATGGGACTGATTATTTAAAAAAAAAATAAAATTAAATCCTAAAGAAATTTTAAAAGTCCCAAGCTGAACATCTTAGTACCTAAAAGCTTTTGCAAAACATATAAGATAGGAGAAATCTGGTGTCTGTCCAGATAGATTAAAAATTTGAAGCCATTAAAAATGATGTTTTTATGAGCTTTTCTTAGGTAGACTTTCACTTTTCTGTCATCTGCTGTATTCACAGTGTGGGTATCACTGGTTGCCAAAAACCCCAGGCTACCAGAAAACTAGAAATGAAGGTACATTAAACCAGATATTTCATCCATGGGCCCAATATTATATAATACTATGTACATCCAAGTTGAAAGCTTTGAAAACTGACACACACAGTAATGGAACACTGCAGGCATTTCTTTAGAAGGTTAATTTAAGGGCTAGTACATCCTTGGGGGAAGGAAAGAGAACAGAGATCACCAGCAGTGCAGAGTGTTTCAGGCTCCCAGGGCTGCTCTGTGCTTGCTTTGGGGGAGAGGGAAATCTGGCTCAGGCATTAGGCCAGATGGGTTGGGTGGAATTCAGCAATGAGGAACTGGTTTTAAAGGTTAAAATCTAGAGAGAAATCATTCTACAAGATCCAATGTTAAGAGCAATGATTAAGAAGTAATGTAAAAAATAAATACAGGCCAATATCCATCTGAAATCTGCACCAATAAAAAGAGGCGATTTCAGACATTTTCCTTTGCATCCAGTGATGTAGGTTCTGTAGGCTTTAAAAACAGGTTTGGAATATTGCAGTGCAGGAGGGCAGGAAGCCAGGGACAGCAAATCACTCCTGACATAAGAATGACTTCACAAACATTGAAAGGGTTACACTAAGGGTTTGGAAGAGGGGTTTCCTTCCACTGGACAAAAACATGGAAGAGGTGTGACCCATTCTAGGCTCACTGGCCCTTTGCAGGAGTTTGCAGGGTATGATGCCCTACCTCAGTGATTATCAGAAATGAGCACCAGGAGCTGTGGAAAGTGTTCTGGTTCTACTTTCTTGTGAAACATTTTATCTACTGCATATGTAGTTACATAAGTATGTGTAGAAATTTAAACTGAGCCCTTCCTTAGCTAGAGCTCAGTGCACCCCAGTGTCCCACGTGCCACGTACACGTCTAAAAATAACCTTTGCTCTTTGTTTGCTCATGATACACTTCAAGTGAAAAATCTGAATTTCTAAACTTACCATTCCCAGACTCTTAAGCTCTTGTCATCAGATGTGCTCACAAACCTCCTGTTTTCATCCACAAACACAATGGTGTTGACAGCTCCCAAATGCCTGTCGTATTCCTGCACAATCTCACCGCTTCGGATATCCCACTGCAGAGAGAAGAGTCACAATAAGACCCTGTTCTTCACTACACACTGGGATTTTGAGAGGGAGGTATTTTAAGCAGACATACCTGTACAATCTTCTTATCTGACATGCCAGCAACAAAGAGATTTTGTTTATCTTCATCGGGGTTGAACTTGACACAATAAGGAACCTTCCTGTTTGTGAACCTGGAAATGCATTGTCCTGCAACACACAAGCCATTCCCAGAGGTGAGGCTGGAAGTTTCAGGGGCTGATGAGTTCTCTCCAGGTATTGATAAACCCCATTCACTTCACTTCTACCTTCCTAGGAGCAGGAAATCCTTGTTCTAAAGGCCCTCAGGAGGATTAGAGGGTTGAATTTACCCTGCTCTTTGACCACACCTTCTTTCACACGTTTGTATGCAGGCACCTGTGTAGACACATGCACATACAAACTGTTCCCTACCTTTACTACAAACTTCCAAGCCATAGAACAGCTCAGCTCCCTGTAGGCACCAGGACACACCAAGGAAATCAGGACTGGTTGGGATATCCCAAACTGAGCACTGCCTCTGCACAGCATCAGGAGAGCTGGGCAAAGAGGAACCTCATGGGGTTCAACAAGAGCAAGTGCAGAGTCCTGCAGCTGGGAAGAAACAACAAAATGCACCAGGACAGGCCAGGATGTGACCTGCTAGAGAGCAGCTCTGTGGAGAAGGACCTTGGAGTCCTGGTAGACAACAGCAATGTGCCCTTGTGGCCAGGAAGGCCAATGGAATATTGGGGGGCATCAAGAGGAGTGTGTCCAGCAGGTCAGGGGGGTTCTCCTCCCCCTCCACTCGGCCCTGGTGGAGTGTTGTGTCCAGTTCTGGGCTCCCCACTGCAAGAGTGGGAGAGGGATTTACTGGAGAGAGTCCAACAGAGGCTACAAGGATGATGAAGGGACTGGAACGTGTCTGATGAGGAAAGGCTGAGAGATCTGGGGCTGCTCAGTCTAGAGAGAAGACTGAGGGGGGATCTAATGAATGTCTATAAATACATGAGGGCAGCAAGAAGGGAGGACAAGCTCTTGTCACTTGTGTCCTGTGGTAGGACGAGGGGCAATGGATTCAAACTGGATCCCAGGAAGTTCCACCTCAACATGAGGAAGAACTTCTTTCCTGTGAGGGTGACAGAGCCCTGGGACAGGCTGCCCAGAGAGGCTGTGGAGTCTCCTTCTGTGGGGACTTTCAAGACCCACCTGGACGCCTTTCTGAGTGACCTGCCCTAGTCTTTTTGGTCCTGCTCTGGCAGGGGGGTTGGACCAGATGATCTTTGGAGGTGCCTTCCAACCCCGAATATTCTGTGACTCTCTGATCACCTCCATGGGATCAGAGGTCTTTGGCAACCAACATAAACTCAGGTAAGAAGTCCTCAATCCTAAACCTAGAGAAGGTTAACAGTAATCCAACAGCAAAATAAATCACTGACCTTTTCTCACTGGAATCATCCAGTCCCAACCCCTGCATGGGCAGGAACACCTCCCACCAGCCCAGGTTGCTCCAAGCCCCATCCAACCTGCCCTTCAACACTGCCAGGGATGGGGCAGCCACAGCTTCCCTGGGCAACCTGGGCCAGGCTCTCACCACCCTCACACTCCACAATTCCCTCCTCATGTCTCACCTCAATCTCCCTCTTCCAGTTTTCATCCATTCCCCCTTGTCCTCTCCCTCCCTGCCCTTGTCCCAAGCCCCTCCCCAGCTTTCCTGGAGCCCCTTCAGGCCCTGGAAGGTGCTCTAAGGTCTCCCTGGAGCCTTCTCTTCTCCAGGCTGAACACCCCAACTCTCCCAGCCTGGCTCCAGAGCAGAGCTGCTCCAGCCCTTGGATCATCTCTGTGGCCTCCATTGGACTCTCTCCAGGTCCTTCTCATGTTAGGGGCTCCAGAAATGCACACATGGTGCCAGATACGAGCATCTCCCAAGACAAGCTCACCTGTTTCAGTGTCCCAGAGTTTCAGGTACCTGTCATAGGCAGCACTGAGGAAGCGGGTGCCGGCGTTGTTGAAACAGATGTCTCGAACAGCCTTGCCATGTCCTGCAAGACAGACAGAGCCAATGTGGTGATCCACTTCTCTCCATTCAATCTGAGAATGAGTGGTTTTCCCAAAAACATTATTTCAGTTAAATGCTCCAGTCTTTAAACAACCCAGAGAGAACAGGGGAATTGCTCACTGAAGTTCTTCATGAGCACTAAGTCAAGAACGATTCAAGGGAGAAAGACAGAGCAGCTACTGAAGAATGATAAGAATAAAACCCTCAAATACCCACACCTCTAAAGCAGGGGAGAGAGAAATGACAGCATTGCACAGAATCAAACACTGCATCCCTCCTAACATTATATCCAAGCAGAACTTTCAGTATTCTTGGCTTCAAAGAGTGTTCTGGTCACAGCTAAGAGCTACCAGAGAAGTTTAGAACACCAGTAATGAATTTGAAGGCTGCTAACATCTAATGAAATAGAGGAGAAAAAAACAGCACTGCAGGAGATACATTCAAAAGAAGAGACATTTAAAATTAGAAAATAGATACAAAATATCATCATAGAGTCATCATCATGGAATGCCAGGTTGGAAAGGACCTCAAGGGTCATCTGGTCCAACCTTTAATAGAGGAAACATTCTACCAGAAAGTTAAGAATGCTTTCATCTGGTGCTGATCTTGCTACCCTGAACCCCAGTGCTTTCACAGGCATGACCTCTGCATCAGACTCGGAGGAGATCTCTTTGGTTAAAATACTGGCACAGCAACTTAAATATAGCAAAACAGCAGGTGAATCTGGTTTATAATAAGGACCTTTAGGAAGAAAGTCAAACTGTTCAGAAAGAGCAGGCTATTGAGAGCCTTTTTTCAGCCATCATCTTTGTCACCCTGCTGTCATCAAAATATTAGGTGGAAAAAGATTTCTTTGTTGTTACTCAACATACATTCACTCAGTGTTCTAGAAATGTTCCCATTTCAAAAGGAGAATCAGCTGCTTTTGTTCAGCATTCAAGACTGCTAACTTTGTGTTTCTTTCTCTCTCTCAGCTCTCTGCTTTAAAAAACACCTGTTACATGAACAAAGACAGCACCTGAACCTAAAGAAAAAACAATTCCCATGCCTTTAGAGACCAGTGATTTAAGGTGGATTCATCCAACCATGAGATGCCCTCACTGGAAAGATACAGAGAGCTGCTCTTCTCCATGAGAGGATGGGGCAATTTCATGCCACAATTTTGCCTTTGGAAAGGAGCCTTGCATGAAGTATTGATGACTGCAGCACACTCAGGCTTTATTTTAAGGGTTTATAAGGTGCTAAAAACCAACATGACATTGCTTGGAACAATGACAAAGGCTCACTAAAAACTTGCACCTTTTCCAATTCTTACTGCCAAGATCATCCTGAACCCCCTATTTGCCATCTCTATGTCTACAATAAATGAATAAGCTAACCTAAATCATGTCCTTCCATGAAGTTGTTTTAAATATATGTCAGCTTAAAAAGAAAGAGACTATTACCAATAAATGTTCGCAGACATCTTCGATCACCATATACTTCCCACAGCTTGGAGGAAAAAAAAAGGGATGGGGAGAAAAAGAGATCAATTGCTAAGCAACAAGGATGCTGAAATGAAATGCAAATGTATGTGGCAACATCTTTTAAGAAATTAATTACAAACATTTGACATCCACCAATTAATCAGAACTACGTACCCAGGAAATTTGTCACCTTCTTGTGGGCAAAACCCCCTTAAAATAATTAAAAACCCCATACCACATTCCAACTTTAAAGTCTTTAAAATAGTATCAGCTATCTGATATGATGTATGCTTGACAGATATGAGATTAATTCATCATCACAAATGCTTCAGTAAAATATTCAGCTAGTTGTAAAACTAGGCTTCACAGAAAATGAATTATTAGAATAATAAAGCCAATAACCTGAGGAACTTGTGACCTTAAATGCTATTGCTAAATGATTAACACTCTTCTAACACCCACGACCTTGTGTCTTAGTTCTATGTTCCAATGATTTATAATTTAAAAAACAAGTGAGAAAAAGAAAAGTAATACAAAGGTACTTGGCAGAACTGCCAAATGTTTAAGTATTCCAGAACACATTGTCTGTATTCAATGCTGACATAAAGTATAGCCAAGAAAACAGAAAAGTAACTCACCTTAATTTTGCAGTCCATAGAGCAAGACAACAGCAAATGCCCAGAGAGGGGAAACAATCTAACTGCACTGACACCCTGTAAATAAGGACATAGTTAAACAGTAAGTGGAACATCTAGGTATTTCCTCAGGTCACCTGCCCTCTTTTCTAAGCAAAAAGCTAAAGCTTATCTTCACAAAATGTACAGATACTGTATATTGGAAAGAAAGAACCTACTGACATTTTATTTGAGAACAGCCATGTGTTTTGAACTATTGTTATTGGCAACAAATGGGTTCACTGCAACAGCTGTAGATAAATCCTCCTTCACCTCACACACCATTCCTGTGGTAAACACAGCGAAGAAGTAAAAGCTGTGGGGTTGGGCAACTGTTTCTGCAAAACAAGCCTTTGCAGGTGGGGCACGTGAGGAAGTTTTCCACAAAAATAAAGCTTCTGGCCAGCTCCATTTGGCTGCCACCCACTGGACTGGCTCCCTGGGCACAGCATCCTCCCATCTATTGCAGGCACTCCTTGCAGAGGAAGTCCAAAGAACTGCCAAGTACCCATGGTTTGATGTCCCTTCTTTCCATTACATGTCAATTACTCTCTTCATATTCCATCCAGTTCCTTGCACTCCTGGTCAGAGTTGGGTGCTTTATCCTTCCTATTAGTGTCCACTTATACCCCCCAACTTTTCTAGATTGGTCAGCCCACCTTTCTTTGGCTCTCCCATCTACATCATGATTCATTTCTTGTTTGTTTCTTGTTTCCTTCCTTGTTTGAAGGAAAAAGCTACTTTATGCATCAGTTTGTTCAAATGGGTGAACAGGCAGAGGAGTGACCAGAGCTTTGGGCAGGAGATGTTATTGTGGAAAGCACTGCTCATTGCAGCTCTTAGATGCAGCAATCTCTGAAGAAGAGTTCAGAGCTGGGACACAACAAAAAAGGGGTAAAACTAAAAGTGTTCTCTGTGTCCTCCTTTCCTCCACCTTTCAGGTATCATTAAGGTGCTGGCCACTGCAGCACAGCACATAACCTCAAGCAATACTGAAAATTAGGGTCAAAAGAAGCAGTAAATTGAGTGTGGGCTTTACAAATCTGATTGATGGAACACTTTTTTAATACTAAAATAATGTGTATAGTTATGGGCTCTGGCAAAAGAAGAAACTGTAAATGTTTAGTAGCATCATCAAAGGAAACTCTGAACAAGACAGACCTCTCAATTTGTATTTGGGAATCCTGGGATGCTGATGCATCATAATCACAAAAGCTATGGAACTCTTCATAAGTTTGATATGAAATAGTCCTCATGTGCTTTTACTATTTAAAAAATAGTAATAGTCCCCCATTATCAGGGATCTCAAGAGTTACCCTTACTCTTATTCATGTCGTAGTTTAGGAAATAACTCCAAATCCCACAGAAGTCACTGAATAATATTTGCCCCTTTAAAAAAAAGTCAGGAAGCCCCTCTGTTAATGAAAAAGTAATGGAAGCAAACACCTCGTGTGAGCATGTCATGCAACCAGGGATATCACAACGTGGTCCAGATGAAAATACTCTTTCCTTCTCCTGGTACTTCAGTTTTATACAAATGACTAGCTTCAGCCACAAAGTGAAGGAGGTTTTTGAGATGCATGCTCCCAAACACATCTTCCTACCTTGGTATGTCCAGACCACACATGGATTTGTTTCTTTGGAAGGTAGCACTTCTCAGGTGGTACCGTCGAACGGAGATTAACCCCAACATCTTGAGGGACGTGAAGATAAGATCTCCCCTGATAGTCATACATTTCCTTAACTGAAAAGGTAAACACAGAATTCTGAGAATCCAAGAGCCTGTATTTTTAGAGGTTATAACCTTCAAAAGGCTCCACAGCCACACACAATGAAGGTTTTCCTCCACACAGCTGCTCTGCTGTGAAGTCGGGGCAGGGGGGGGAGTGGGTTAAAGGAAGAAAAACCTGCTTCACAGAACACAGATGTGGAATCTTATTTGACATCAGTCAAGCTCAAATTAAGCCACTTCAGCCAAGTATGCTTGGAATCTGATAATCTGAACATGAAGACAATCTCCCCTCTACATGTCTTACTCATCATTAAAGAGCAAGAGAGTTTCTCCAGCCAAGGAGGGTTGGGTTTGATTCTCAAGTGCAACTCTAACCCTGGTGTTTGCTTGCAGCTCACATTCCAGCCAGCTCTGTGCTGGGCCAGTCACCTCAACAGTTACAAACCAGGACAAAAAGATCCATTTGACCTGTGGGAACCAATATTGGTCAGAGGTAGCCAAAAGCTGCTCTTTAACTAGATTTTGGGGAAGATACTGGACAATCAAACAGGTGTTTCACAGCAGACTTGTGTTGGGAAGCCATGACATCAGGCTGTGCATTGATTAGATAAATGTCTCAGTTTCTGGGATATCATGATGGCAGTTTTGGTTGTACAAGTGGCCTCCTGCACATTATCAGTGATTATACATGGCTGCAAAATGGCAGATTTCTGGAATTTTTCTGTTTGAGAAGATGAAAGTTCAACTTGCAAGGTCTTTCACTGTGAAACTTCAAGTAGGGATGACAAAAACTTGGATACAAAGTTCCACAGGGGCTCAGTGGCTACAGTTTCAGTTTTGCTGTGCTTATCAGTATTCAGTAACTATTGTCATGCCCTACTACATACAAACAGAATGAAGTGCTCATGGCAGCAATGCCTGTTTCACAGCCACTTCTTTAATGCATTTAAGAAAGAATGTTCCAGCTTGTGCACATGAGCCTGGCTGTAGAAGGTGGTCAACAAAGAGAGACTTGGTTCACCTAACTATCTGTGCCAAGCAATGTCAGGCAGGACTGGTCTGCATGCAGAGAGCTGAAATAACAGTTGCCAAAAATCACTTCATTTAACTTGCTCACCAAAGCACTTTCTTTCAAAGTAGCACATGCTTCTAGGCTTCCATGGGGCAATTACTTGATAGGCAATTACTCAAGAGTTTGACAGCAAGAACATTCACATTAAGAAGTGAGAAAGTATAAAGTCCAAGTCATTTTCTAAATTGCATGTAAGCCACAAGTCACAGCACTACCTGCTGATGACAGCACTGACACACAAAACTGCAGCAGTTCTGAAGCAGAAACTAAGCCAAACTCAGAACTTTAAAATGTTTGCTCTGAAATGGGACCTCTGCATCGAGGACCATTCAAAATCAATAATATCAAATTGCATTTCCACACTGCTCCTCACAGTATGAAGTGAAATGAGTCCGAGTTGATCTCCTTCCCTGTCCTTTATGCTTATGCATCTGAGCTCTATTATCTCCAACACAGAAACATCAAGGTGCCTCAGCCAAACTGCTGGGGCTGTCTGCCATCCCTACTAATTGGCACAGCAGGCAAGAAAACAGTGAGCAAGAAAATGAGGACAGGCAGGAATACACCATTACCATGTAATATAGTCTTCTCCTCTCCAGGTTTATCATCTTCCAGCTTTCCTCTCTTCTGCCTCTTGGCTGTTATTTCATCCAGCTCCTTCTGTTCTTCCTGGAAAAATAAAAATTGACTTTTACAAATTCAGCACTGAGAAGAATCAAGTAACAAAATACAGACCTGCACAACCCTTTCCTTACTGCTATGAACACATTTACTTGCTTAATGAGATTAGAAATACTTCTAAGCATCAGTAAAGATAATACCTTTCTGAAACCCAGAATAATTAAAAAAAGCTATTTATATCAAAAAGAATCAAATGCTCCCTTTTTATTCACAGACCACAGCTAAGGATCACTGACTGAACAAGGAGGATATTTGTTGGTGGGAGAGGGGTTTTTTTAGGGGGTAATTGTTATTCTCTTTGTTTTTTCCTTTTTATTTTATAACACATTTTACTTTCAGTTCTTTTCAAGCTGTTTCTTTCACTAACCATTTTTAGATCAGACTCCACACATGGATAACAATAATTTTAATTCCAAACACTCTTGCAAATAATTGAGTGCAGAATATGCAGAACACCTTATTTGGACATATCACCTGGAATGGTTTTTTATCACCCTAAAACACAGTGTGGATCCTCTGCCTGGAAAAACTGCTGGTGCAGCTGGATCTCTGGTACAACCACTGCCATGTACTAACTAGGTTTATCTGTTGTGCTAAAGTAGCACTTACCTCAGATGGTTTGGCTACTTCTTTTTCATCAACATACTTTGCCCATGGTCCCAGAAACCCATCAATGTTAGATGCATCGTTCTCCTTGAATTTCTTCCTTTTTTCAATTTTCTTTTGTCCTGTTTCAAACACAGTTAAACCTGAAGAAAAAACAAAGCACTGATCAGCTGCTAACCCAGGATACAGCAGCACAGCTCACAGAACAGTCAGTTGAAAAAGAAATATCACCACTACCACCATTTGTCCCAGTGCTCACAGCAAGATGGAAAAAGCATTTGAGCAGCCTTCCAGTGCCTGAAGGGGCTCCAGGAAAGCTGGGGAGGGGCTTGGGACAAGGGCAGGGAGGGAGAGGACAAGGGGGAAGGGATGAAAACTGGAGGAGGGGAGATTGAGGTGAGACATGAGGAGGAAATTGTGGAGTGTGAGGGTGGTGAGAGCCTGGCCCAGGTTGCCCAGGGAAGCTGTGGCTGCCCCATCCCTGGCAGTGTTGAAGGGCAGGTTGGATGGGGCTTGGAGCAGCCTGGGCTGGTGGGAGGTGTCCCTGCCCATGCAGGGGGGTTGGGACTGGATGATCTATATCAACCCAAACCACTCTATGAAAATTGGCCAAGGCATTGCTAACTTTTCTAACTATGAACACTGCTAACTATGCCCAGTAATAGGAACCACTTAAACTGTGTCTCATGGTTGGTTAGAGTATTTAACCACATATGTACCTATGCATTTTTAACCATATATGAATACACTGATTTTCATACTTGAAATAGTGCAGTGTTTGCCCAAGTAGAGTCCTAACAACTGATTTCTGACCCCACTCACCACTCTTGGTTTCTAAAAAAAAATAAATATCTCTAAGAACCAAAACAAGACAAGTCTCCCCAAGCCCCAACCATAACTGTGTATTTGCATTTAGTAAAAAGTCACAGAATCATGATGAATGGTTTGGGTTGGAAGGGACTTTCAAGGTAATTTAGTGCAACCTTCCTGCAGTGAACAGGGGCATCCTCAACCAGATCAGGCTGCTCAGAGCCCCAACCAAACTGACCTTAAGTGTTTCTATGGCTATGGTAGGACATCTACCACCTCCCTGAGCAACCTGTTCCAGAGTTTCACCAATCTCACTGTAAAACACTTCTACCTTATATCTAGTCTGCATCTACCTTCTTTTAGTTTAAAACCACCACCCTCTTGTTCTGTCACTACAAGCCCTATTAACAGGTCTGTCTCCATTGACATGGTCATCTACCTCCAACCCCCATCTTGTTCTCAGAATTCCATGTGTCAAAACCATTAAACAATATAAATATGGGAGGAAAAAAACCCAACATTTAAGTATAAAGATGTTGAAATAATGACCTAATAGTTTTTCATAAGGTTATATATACAATTATGTGCAACTTTCAAGCCATGTTTTCCTTCAGCATCAGTGATACTCATCTAGTGCCAAGAAGCCAAAAAGAGCAAGAAGAAACAGGCAATGTAAACATTTATGTTAATGATCATACAAAGGAATCACACACTATTACAGAGTTTTCTAAAATAAATTACTAAAATTCCATTATGAAAGAGTTCTTTTTGTACTTTTATTTAGTTATTTCATCTTTGCTGTTTCTGTCTCATGTCTGTAGCTGCTATACCAAAATAACACTACTTTCCTCATCTTACTTTGAAAGAGTGAAATAACCTTGGCTATATTCTGTGGAATAGGTCACAGACATAAGGAAGCTTTGTATAGCATGTGTAAGATGCTAGAAAAAGACATGGAAGGGAAAGCATGACTGAAGTCTGCATGGGTACCACCTTCCAGTGACACTGTGAAGTGTCAAGTAAAGGATTAATGCCAAAGCCCATGCCTCTGGCAGCCAAGCCTCCCAGTGGCACCCCATGCCTTTCCTCTTTGGCAACCTCCCAAAGGGTTTTCCTTTCCAAACAACCCAAAGAGCTTAACTCTGCTCAGAAGAGATAACATGCAGCTCCCAACTGGAGGTTGCACAGAGCAACCACGAGTAGCACCTTTAAGGTGATTAACCCACCACACCAGTATCCCAATGCAGGCATCCACCAGTTGTAGCTAATCAACACAGTTTAAGAATGCTAAAAAGGCCTGTTTCAAGTACACAGGTCAATTCTACTCATGTAATGGTACATGTCAGGTTCCAGTTACAAATCCTAATTTAAAACTTGACATAATGGCAGCCTGAAATATTTGCTACTCAGGAAAACAAAGCCACCCAATATCTCTGTTTCTCTTCACATTACAATTACAACACATTTATTGAGTCCTCAGACATGGCTAAGTCTCTCAGAAATTCTTCCTTTCCAATAGCTATTCCATTTCTTAGTGAAGAAGGAGTCATCTGTTGCAAGTCATTTATGAATTATTTACCTTGATTTTTCTCAGCTTCTTCTACAGAGCCAATATATTTGGTAGCAACTTCAGGGTTATCTATGGAGGGATCTAATGCATAGCCTAGAAGAAGAAGAGAAATAAAATACTGTTATTTCAAGTTTTCAGTTTATTACTCTCTCTCCACCCCCCCTACATTCCACAATTTTTTTTCTCATGGTGGGTCTCAAGCAGCAAGGGAGGAGGAAAGGTTGACACTTTGAAATCCCACCTACTTTTCACTTGGATATTAGGGATACTTTTTGCCTGGATATTAGGGTTACTACAAAGTATTACCATGAGGTCCCTGAGGATGCCTTGCTGCCAGAAGCCTGACATCTGCACAAGATACAGAAGCAATGAAGTGTGATAGGCAACAGTGAGCATAACACAGAAAGAGAGGGCAGTCACAGAACCTTCCTGGTGGGAAGGGACCTCAGGAGGCCCCTGGCCCAACACCCAGCAAGGTCAGCACTGGATTTCGTTCAGTTTGCTGCACTACAGAGATGTGGAACTGCCACAGCAACCCCCTCTTCCTGTAACATGGCATAAGGAGAAGGCTGGCTCAACATCTTAGGTTAGTGACATGGGATTTTAACCAGATGCTGCTTTAGCTCAGGGCACTGCTCCTTGGTTTGCAAAGCCACCAAGTCACCAGCCCCTTGCTACTGCACAGAGGGCCCTGAGCTTCAGCCCCTGCCCCTACAGCCCCCTGCCCTGCCCCTACACCCCCCTGCTGCTCCTCTCTGGCAGTCCCGGGGGTGGCAGCAGCTGGAAGAGGACAGGGATGGGGGAAAAAAGGAAAGCAAATGAAGTCTTCTAGGGCTTTGTGCATATTCTGCCTTCCTCAGCAGAAATTATTTCAACCTCTTCCTGCCAGAGTTGGGAAAGCCTGTTTCTTTGACTTGCAAGCAGTTGCTTTAACTAACACAGGCAGCATCAGAAGCAGCAATGGCCTTTAGTTTTTAAAAGAATTAAGTATTTACATCTTCATTTCCTGATTACAGCTATTGAGTGTTGTTAAGAAAAAAATCCAACAAAACCAAACCTGCTGTGCTTATAAATAATTTATAAAAAGTATCAGCAATTTGTAGATATTCAGGTTATTTACAATTTTTAACATGGAAGTTCTCATTTTAATGAGTTCTCATTTTAATATGCACATCTTACAGTTTTTCTCCATTTCTCCTGAAGTGGATGGCACCATCTTAGGAGCATGAGGAGACAGACAAATAAACTCATCTGGTTTGCAAGGACCAGGTGCACTGAACAGCTCTTGACCACCATGGCTTTTTTATTATTATTTTGTTTGGGAAAGACTGCACCCTGGTGGACATATCTCCAATTTTTATTAAATATCATCCCAGTGACAAAATATCTCTTGAGGACCCAGCGAGAAGATGTCCATGTCAGGAAGGAAAAAGAGCCACAGTGAAGGTGTGAAACACAAGTCATCACACACACAAACTTGAAGAAACCCTAATTCTTATATTTTTGTGAATTCACAATCATGAACAGTGGGGGGTCACCCACTCCACCCCAGAGACCAATGGCCCATAAAAGCACTTGGCTGTGCACAAGTGGAGAACCTATAAACATCATCCCAACAGCCAAAGGAGATCATCTCCCCAGCCATTTCCCAGAAAGGCTACAGTCCTAGAAGATGGTCCAGATAATTTCTTTTGAGATGCTGGGAAAAAAATAAAATACAAAAAATAATTGAAATTAGAAGAAGAGGCATTCTAAGAACACATGAAGTGTTCCCACACAACTGGAGCAATCCACTTGCAGACCAATTCTTGAGCTTCAAGCCTGGGAAGACCTAGATGTGGAACAACATCTGCCCAGATGCTCCATGAGCGTGATATAGGGAGACAAATATACACCAAAGTTCCCACTATACCTCAACCACAACAAACAAAATTATTTTAGACTGTTATTAGGATTTACTTCCCTGGGTAACCAAGCTGAGAAGACACTGCAATTATACTCATGCTAATTTAACTGCCTGCTTTTATTAAGCCACTATTTCAATGAGTTCCTTTCCAAGCTATAAGGTTTCTGTTAACAGCAGAGAGATATGACTTTGGATTGATGTCAAAATCAATACAGTGGTTTATTTGTCCTCCAACTGTATTGACACAGTCTCTGGGACTCTATTTGCTGGGTCCTTGTCAAAGAGGGACAGTATTCTAATGAATAGAGCCCCTGGGCCCAGCACAGCTTCCCATGGAAGTGGAGACTTATAGCTGGGTTGAATTTGGTCCAGCATCACGCTCATAGAAAAGCTCTGAATAATTTCTACTTTCCAGTGGGTATGTGAAAAAGGATCTTTTTTATTTTTCTGGCTGGGACTCCAAACCACAGCTGCAGAAGACAGCTTGCTTTTATCCTGCCCAGTTGGTGTGCCATATAATGTGCCCTGACTCCTACATCTCCTTCAGTTCTATTCAGGAGACGGATATTTCATGCTCCGTTTTAGCAGGGAAAGCTGCAATTCCACCTACATTCATAATATCAGTGCACCTGAAAACAGTTGGTTGAATAATCAGACTTTGATGTGCATTCTTTTCACAGTGCATACACTTTGATAAGGGCTGTAGTGAAAGGACGAGGGGAAATGGATGAAAACTGGAGGAGGGGAGATTGAGGTGAGACCTGAGGAGGAAATTGTGGAGTGTGAGGGTGGTGAGAGCCTGGCCCAGGTTGCCCAGGGAAGCTGTGGCTGCCCCATCCCTGGCAGTGTTGAAGGGCAGGTTGGATGGGGCTTGGAGCAGCCTGGGCTGGTGGGAGGTGTCCCTGCCCATGCAGGGGGTTGGGACTGGATGGGCTTGAAGGGCCCTTCCAACCCAAACCACTCCATGATGACATGATTCCAGAAAGACAGCTAATTAAAGCATGTTTACACCACCCTGAGCGATCCAGCACAGAGAGAGCCAAGGCAGCTCAGGTATGTGGACTAATAGAGCTGGACTAGCCCCTTCTGACTGCACTGGCCTCTCTGCAGAATCAAAGGAATCAGAGAACAAAAGTGTCTACAACTGTAAGAGGTAACAGCAATGGGAGGTGTTGCATGTGACATGAGTGGATGAAAAAAAATCAGAAGTGTTACTTCCAAGCCAGAGTCATTTTAAGCTCTTAAAACATCAGTCTTACTGATAAAGTAATCCTGTTATAACCAAGCTGCTGAATACTCATAAAGAGCTTTGGGATTCCTGGACAGAAGACTGTTTCTTATTACATAAGCCATTAATATCTTGTGAAGGAGGGATTTTAAAATCTTAAATCCTGCAGGAATGAAGCAGCCCCCTTCTAGGATGAATATTGCTGCTGAAATAGGTATGCAATGGTTTTTCTACCACATTCCTGAACAGTTTGTGTACAGCATGTAAAAAATAAATCTGTACTTCTGCTTTCCACTGAACATGTATATCTGCTCACACAACTAAGGAGACTATATTGCCTTTTTTTTAAAAAAAACAAACCAACAAACCAACAAACAAACAAAACAATCCTTAAAAGGCAATTTTCAGGAAGAGACTGCTTCTGCTGAGGGCACAGATACAGAAGAATACACTAGTACTTGTATTTTAAGATTTTCCAGTCATTTTTGCCATGCTCTAAAGACTACAACATTGTAAAAAAGACTAGTATTTATAGCCTTATATTGGCCATTTATATCAAAACAGTTTACAAAGAGAAATTTGGCTTTCTAGAGAGAAAACTTTTTCCTTAGTATCTGAAATTATTTAAGAAGTTTACCATCCATCAATGGATTCCACCTAGGGTTGACCCCCTACAACTGCAGATGCAATTGTGGTTACCAATTAAAAAAAGGTCAGACTGTCCCAGAGTAATAATTAATGGAGAAGATCTCATAAAGGTGATGAAATGGCCTGCCTGAACTATTTTATTCAATATTTTAATGGTTTGTGACATCAGCAAAGGATGCAGCTGACACCAAAGGCAAGGGTGAAATATTTCCCTTCAGCACAGACATGCTGAATGACAGATGCCAAGAAAGGAGAATAACTGGTTAGATCCAGGGGAAAAAATAATACAGGTTGCAAGGATAATGTTGTTGAGACACTCAACAAGTCTACCTGAAACCAATGGAGAAGGGGGAAATAAAAAGAAAACTGAGATTTGTTGCACAGGATAGAACTACATAAAACATAGAACAACCCTGGCAAGACCTAGGTTGGTGTGTCCAGTTTTAAGCAATGTATTTTAAAGAAAAATGTAGATTAAAATTGAGAGTAACAAGAATGATAAAGTGCTGGGGGTGGAAGAAAGGCCTCGAAAAGGTTGAAGAAACATGTTTGTCAGTCTTAATGAGAGATGAAGGGCAGAAGGTGAAAACCTGCTGGACTCAAAGGTAGTTTCAATGTGTGAACCATTAGAGACAAAAATGACCCCTGGCTTGTTAGGGCTGCTGAAGGGAACAGCAGAAGTACTGGAAATCTGCAGTAGTTTGAAAGTAGTTTTGAAAAAAACAAACAACTAGAATGCTTATGGAGATTTTAAGACCATGCCAGATGGTATAAAAATAGGAATGACCTTGAAGAAAAAGCAAAAATATTCTGACTCCTCCTGGGCAGCCTAAAAGATGAGAGAAGCAGGTCTGCATTCACAATGACAAGGGTTCACAACCCCTTGGAGGTCAGGGACAAAGTGACAGCTTAAGAAAAAAATTGGAGAACCAGAGCAGTCCCAGGTTTGGCTTTTCCTTTGGTGTATAATATGCCTGAGCTACTATGTTTTGTATTGTAAAGAATAAAAGACAGCAGCAGACATCCAAGTACTTCCACATGCTGGTATCACATATACATTCTTGATAAAGAAGCTTCCTGATCAAGAAATCTAGTTGATTTGTCAGAGGGAGACCTGAGGTCTGCATTTCACACACTCTTCCTCAGTTTTCCATGGACTAAGGGACAGCACAAAAGTGACTCAATTAAGCAATGGTATGTTTACATTTGTATAAAATACATTCTAGAAGGGTAGCTCATTCTCAAGAGGTTGTTTACTGAGAGAAACTGAAGATCTTTAACTGTAATGCATAAAACATCTCTAGTGCCTGTGTCAACTCTACCTCTCTAAACTTCTGGAATGAAGGGAACCTTGCTGAGATGGGAAGGTCTCATCTAGATTTAGGTTGTTGGTGCTGAGAAAGTTCAAAGGTTGTTTTTTGATTAAATAGGTGGGGATAGCCAATGGTTTAAAAATAAACCCAAACACAACAAGCTATTTGGCATGACACACAATCTTAAAAAAAGCCATATCCTTCAGCAAAAGGTGGAACAGAAATGTGAAACCTCAGCTAACATGGACAGCAATAAGCACAGAAGCTATTTAAAAAGAGAGCAGAGGAATGGAAAACCCAGGCATGCATAGAAAATGACAGAGGCTAAAAATAATACAGAGTGAAATGTGAATATCTTGTTTTAAATTCAGAAACAAATGTAAATTGGTAAGACAATACTGACATAATGAGCCAGAACAGATTCTTTACCAGGTAGAAAGAATACAGAAATAAGATGGTCAGACCAGTGGGGAAAAACATGCTATATGCTACCTGAAGCATAAAGACAAATCAGATTACCAAGTTAATAGTGTTAACAAGCATTAAAGCATCCTTTGGACTGAAATTCCAGGTTTAAGTAGTGGTCAGTACAGTTGCCTGGACTCCCCTATTGACTGTTCAGCCAGAAGATGCAATAACCATGAAATGGTACCAGAGATTAAACAGGGAAAGAAGCACAGCAAGAATGAAATCCTTTAGTCGCCTCCTTCTAGTAGATTGTGCAAATCTCACAACAAAATGTGATTAAAACATTTTACACTATATATATATTTTTTACACAACATATTTGAACCATGAAACAGTCATGGTAGAGACTCAAATGAAAAAAAGCCAAGTGAGCAGTGCAGGAAACTTGATTTTTTAAGCTAGTTTTCTGTAAGGATACACATGTTAACCATGGCTATAATGCAGTATAAATCAACACTGTTGAGGAAGCAAAGACATAAGAACATTTACTACAATGACCTCAATCTCAAAACAGGAGATGAAATAAAGAAGATTTAAAAAAGGAATACAAAGTGAGCAAAGGGTAACACTTCTCCCAAATGCAGGGACACTTCAAAGACACGACATAGGAGAAAAAAACTCATGCCTGCCAGCTATTAAAAAAGCTTTAAAGAGACCTGGAGGAAGAGAGCACAAGAAAGCTGAACAGGATGTGAAGAAAAACTATTAGAAATAGGAACTATTATTCAAAGAGCTGAAGATGCATTCAAATTTGAAAGAATATGAAGAACAAAACTCTGGCAGAAAAAGTAAGAACTACAGTAAGGCAGCCCCCCTGTCCCCACAGAGTGAGGAGCAGAACAGAAAAGGTATAAAAAGTACCATTTGTCCTTTGTAAAAACATGCAGGGGCATAAAACACACCAGACAGAAGGGAGGACAAATGATGAGCTGGGAATGAAACGAGCACTGATGGATTTTTTTAAATTCATGTTCATGATGGAGGAGCCTGGGGAGGTTCATGTGCTAGAAGGGGTAACATGACAAAGTATCTACCTCAGAGTGAAATGCCAGGAGACTAGAGTGTCAAAGTGGCAGCAAAACACAGGGACCAGTTGATAGTCATCCAAGAGATCTGAAGCTGAACCACAGTACAAAAACTCTTGCCTGATACAATCTCCATCTGACAGAAATGGAACATATCAGATACAATGTCAACTTTCAAAAGATGCTTCAGAGGGGATCTGGGGAACTACAGGTCATCTGGTCCATTTGTGTGGAGAGAAGTTTCAAGCAACAGAAACTATGATAAAGAAAGCCTGCAAGCACTGGGATGAGCATTACCCACTGCAGCAGAGCAGAAAACACAGCCTTCTGTACAGGTAAGTGACAGTGACAAAACCTTCAGGATATTTCTGAGGTGACAAGCATGTGAGTGAGCAAACCTCAACTGATGGTGAAACAGGGTTAGGCTGGTTGCAAGGTGTCTCAAGGACACTGAAAAAAACCCACAGGTCGTTACGTGGTCAATAGATTTAAAGTTCTTAAAATGTTGGCAAGAGTAAATGGTTGGTTTCCACAGCCCAGGGAAGTCTCTGGTGGATCCATGCTCAGGCCCATGCTGTCCAACACACTGATAAACCATCTGGGAAAAGGCAGCAAGTAGGTTTTACAGAGTTACTCAGAGAGAATAGCAATTACACTTATGTTTTTCTACTTGGTCTTTTCCAAGAAGGTTATTTTTACTTTTTTTTTCCAAATGGAAAAGAAAACACTGCATTTTTTAATAGACAGCTTCTTGACAAAGGATTGCTGTTTTTAACAGACCTTCCTGTGAGCCAGGCTATCATGCTCACTTACTGCATCTTCTCAGTGCTTGCTCCTGCAGCTTAAATTACCTACTCAGCCTCCTCATAGCTCCATTTTCACCATACTCAGATCATTATGTATTGAACATTTCTAGGAAGCTGAATATGACAGTTGCACAGCTGCCAACATTATCTATCTTAAAAATATTTTATATTCTCCTGTAATACAGTTTTCAAGGCAGCTGCTGTACAGTGAGGATAAAAACCAAGAGCAGAAGCTTTGAGTAGACTGACTAGTTCCATCTTCCCCCAAACTGAACTTCACAAACAAAAAAAAATTCCCAACCCAAACACTCCGTGCCTATTTTACACACACAAAAATGCACAACCACACAATGCAACATTCCATTTCAGATAACAAAATCTGTCTATTCAGATCCTGAATAGGCTTCTACCTGCATTGTCTGTCAAGTTCTAACATTAAACTGCAGTCAAGTAAGTGAAAGTTATGTTACAGAACTACACATTTTTTCACCAGAGAGGGCAGTAAGAGGAAAAGGGTATTTTTTTTTAAATGAAAGGGGAGATTTAGGTCAGACATGAGGAAGAAATTCTTCCCCATGAGGGCAGAAAGGCACTGACACAGGTTGCCCAGGGAAGCTGTGGCTGCCCCATCCCTGGCAGTGTTGAAGGGCAGGTTGGATGGGGCTTGAAGCAACCTGGGCTGGTGGGAGGTGTCCCTGCCCATGCAGGGGGCTGGAACTGGATGATCTTGAAGGTCCCTTCCAACCCAAACCATTTCATGATTCTATGACACACATTCCTTTCTTAATATTGGTATTTTGCTTATACTCTACCATCCTAACAACTCAGTGGAAAGTACCTATTAGTTAAAACTCTGTAAAAGGAAAAAAAACTGTCTTAAATATATTTTGGGTTTTGACATTTACAAGAAAGCCTCTAATAAAAGCAAAACATCAATTTAAACTGGAGATGTCACAGTCTCTGAATTAATTTATTTTTTCTTCCAGGTTTCACTGTCACACATGGCTCCCTTAGATGTCAGCAATGAAGTCCCAACCTCATCTACCACAAAATGCAGTGAGTTAATCCATGCAGGCATAAAGCCCTAATGAAGTTAAGAGGGCTTGTGTGTAGGGAGGTGATTTTGAGGCAGTTTGCAGGGAGTAAGAGAATAACCTTCTGAGTGTGAACTGCGTGTTTGTTGTGCAAGAAGTTGAGTGCTGTGACACCAAGTTCATATAGGAAGTATCAGAACTCGCCTAATACACTGGATTTGGAGAATATAAAGGGATACTTCATCTGAAAACAAAGATTCATATTTGCAAGGCAAGCACATGCAGTCAAGTTTAAGACAAATGAATCCTTACAATGAAACACAGAAGGAAAAAGAACCACTGTTACAGGAAAACCCAGGGCAGTTTTGTTCTTTCAATTGTGTCCAAAAGAATCACAAAATGGTTTGGGTTGGGAGGGACCTTCAGGATCATCTACTTCCAACCTCCCTGCATGAGCAGGGACACCCCCCACTAGACCAGGCTGCTCAGAGCCCCATCCAGTCTGTCTTCCCATATTTTCCCTATTTAAAAAAATCATCCATATTTCTTACAATTCAGAAGAATTCTGTTTGAAACTCCAGCCTCTCCAAAACCCCAAAGATTCATTTTTCAAGAGCAACTATTTACAAGTCAAAAGGCTCTTCAAGATTAGAAAGCAGCAACTATAATCACCACCAATACAGAGATAAACCTTTGGGTGTGTCTTGGCTAAGAATAATTTAGTAGCTCTACTCCCTTTTTCTTCAGTTCCCATTCATTCAGCCTGTGTCTAAACATGCAACCACTCTGGGAACCCAACCACCCCGTAAGGCTTCCTTTGGATTTTGAGAAAACTGTCTCTAGTTAGAATTGCATGGAAGAATCTATTTGCATAACAATTCTACAGTTATTTGTCAGATTAAACGTGTGAAAATTCAATTTGTTTTTTCTACACTGATGCAACTAATGGAAGGATTAATTAAGAAGGGGTTTAGTGGGAGGTCATACTTGATTACAGTTTCAAAGGGACTTCTAAAGTGAGTTTTTCCAAATAAATACTAAGTTCTCCAGCCATACACTTTCTCATTCAAGGACATTTCCCCATTTTACCAAGTCTGTTAAAAATTAATGTATAGACTTGCAGTCCTATTAACTGTTCTACAGAAAACAACTTATTCTGCCCAACCAGGGCATAACAAAGGTAGAGGTGAATTCCACTGTTAAGGACTTACCATAGGTTGCAAATGTTCTTCTTTGTTGCTCAAACATGAAATCATTGATGTGAGCTGGTTCTGCATATCCAGAAAGCATATTTCTAGGTGCAGCCATTTGCTGTGTCCTAAATGGGTTCTCTGGTCCAAACTACATCAACAATGTTAAAAGAAATTACATCAGAATTGCTAATTTTTTCTTTCTAAGTTTGTACTTTTTCAAGAAAAAACACAAGGAAAACAATAAATATTTTGCCTTTCAAAAACTGTAATGCCAAACCACTTCAACTTTCTATTTCTTTAAGACAACTGAATAAACATCTGTGATTTTTACACAGTGACCACTTACACAGTTAATTTGAACAGCAAGTTTCATGACTGAACTTCCCAGCCTGTTACAGAGGCCAAACCAGTATCTGCCACTTGACACAAACCACTGCCATTTGGCATGTGATCAGTACAAGCACTCAGAAGACAAAACCCCAGCACACTGTCCCCTGTCAGGGGGAGATCCCAGGTCCCACTATACTCTTGTCCCTGACAGGGAAATCACACTGCCAACAACACTTCCCTGCATTTATAAAGCAACTGGGGCCTTATTATTCCAGGAAAGCTTGCTTTTCTTCTTGTGAGATGACAAAAGCCACCCTTCCTGGCCACACCATGGTCAGGGAAAAGAGCAGTGAACACAAACAAATGCAACACACTAAGACTAATCTGCAGTTATATTTAGTTGTAACCTCTATGCTTGCCAGCCATATTTGCAGACACCCCAGATTGTCCCACATCAGGCTTCCCTCACCAGAACACTTACACAAACTAACACTGTCACAGGTTTAAATCAGTATCTCTACTCACACAGGTCATGGCTTTGGGAGGCTGCAGAATGCAAGCTTGCTATGAAAAGGTCTACTTATGTGGTTCCACACAAGGTTTTCCTAAACATTAAGCATAAATAATGTAGGCAGTTCAGACTGATACAGCCTTTGTCTACCTGGAATTGCTAACTCCTGGTTTAACAGCAGACAAACTGTAACAAGAAGTTAAATACTGACAAAAGTTACATGTTGAACAGCTGATTTTATCTTTCAGCTAGCTTGTCAGTCATAAGAAAACTGAAAGCAGTTCATATGACACCACTAGGCAGTTCAAATTCAGCCTTAAAATGGTTTTACACTACACATTTAGCATAGCTTAAGTTACTAAAATACTTAACACTGATGTGAATAGTTACACTGAAAGAATTTGGATTTTAATTTTAAATCTTCTTACAAGCCATATAACCACAAGACTTAGAACCAATAGTTTTGCTCTAAAAGGAACAAAGTAGCAAAAATGTGAAAATAGTAAGAAACCAGTTTAATGCTTTACTGAACACCTTTATAAAGTGACTTTCCTAGATCGATTTTTAATTTTCATAGCTGTAACTTTGATAACACTTTAAGATTCTTCTTAGACCACTTATATATGCAGAATATTAAAATTCAAGCATTAGAAACACTAACACACCTGTGCAGAATCTTTTATCTGTTTGCCCAAACCAGATTCCAAAATGCAGCAAGCATCCAAAGCAGGTGAATCTTCTACCAGTTTCACACTACACGCACAGAACCTCTGCCCCTTCAGCCAAAAAAGGCATTTCTGCTGTAAAGATCAATATTCTTTCTTACCTCAGGTGCAAACATGGTGTCATAAGTGGGGTTGTACTGAACTTCCTTGATAGCAGGATCAAGGTGGACTCCTGTTTCCACATCCTCCTGAAATAAAACAGATATATTAATAAACCATTTCTCACACACAGACTTTTAAATACATGACATTACCCTATTTCAGACCAAATCAGGCTGTAGTTCAGGTTGACACTTCAGCACTATGAAAGAAGAAAAGCAGCTTGGCCAAAGTTTCTTTTTTCAAAAAATACTAATTGCAAACCCAATGTTGGTCTCTTACTTAGAAATTCAATTGGAGACATATGTGGAATTTTACAAATGCTTGATTACTTTCCTTTTTTTGAAGGACTTCATGCACACATTTTGAAAACAGTAGCAAGATCAGAGGCAATTTTTTTTAGGATGTTTGAAAACCAGACCTTGTAAAGAAGAGCCAATTTAAAAAGCCACCAAGTTAATATGAAACTGTGAAAATGAGATTTTTACAAAAAGTAGAAGGCAGAAGTCACAAGTAAATCTTTTGAAAGATAGTAGATACCAGACATGAACATAGTTGTAATGAGTTTCAGAGAATCTAACAGTCCCATATCTCCAAGTTTTTACCAAAAATGTAATTGAGCTTCAGCACTGAAACACATTTCCAAGCCTGTTGTGACAAAAATGTAACTCAATATACAAAGGGACAAGAAAGAGGGGCTACCAAAAGAATAACTTCAAGCAACTCAAAGCATGATGAAGAGCAGATGTGCCTGAAGGAAAAGATGAGGAAGAGAAAGGCTGATGAGTGGGGCAGAGCTCAAAAAACCCCTGGGTTCCCAGAGCTCTACGAGGGCTCATTTATGTTAATTCTAAATTAACACTACTCCCCTGCCCATAAGAAGGCCTCAGCTAACAAGAGAGAATGTTATTTTGCAGTATTACTGGTGTTGCTTCCTGCTTCATTATTCTAGAATAAATGCTTTACAAGGTGCTTGGATATTGATAATATCACCAGTAATTATAATAAAAGAGCCCTCTTAGAATCACTGTTTAATCAATGCTTACAGGAGCCACAAGCATTTGCAACTGGCTCAATAGAGGATGAAATTTTAGCAGTAACTTCTTTAATTAAAAAATTACCTCAATCTTGCTTTGTAATATAGTACCTTGAAAGAGCAAAAGGGCATGTTCTTTATTTAAACATTATGACCTACTCTCTGACAGGCCCTGCCCAGAAGGGTTTTTTTCTCCCCCAATTCAACAGCAGGTCAATTAAAACCAAATTTGCTTAAGCATGCAAGGCTGAAAAGGTTTAAAAACCTGGTCTTCTAGAACACAGAAAAATAGTACCTAAAGATCTTTGGCTTGTTACCTGATTCTATTTGGTTAAAACTGCTCAAAAAAAAAAAAAGAGAAGAGAAAAAATGAGAAGAAAAGAAGTTGTGGGAGGGGTTATGTTGGGTTGGGTTGGTTTTTTGGGTTTGGTTTTGTTTGTTTGCTTTTCAGAAGAGAATGACAACAGGAATCCCGTGAATTGTTTTTCTACTGAGACCACTGCCTTAGTAGAACTGGTCAGTCCAACTAGAAAGCTTTACTCTCACTGCATATGGGTTATTTTACCAGGCAAGTCCAGCCGTGGTGCTGCTTCTGCCTGGGCCCCTGGCACTGCCATTTCCCAGCCTGATCTTCTTTCTCTCATCACACCACCTTCTCATCACTTCTCTGGCCTTGGATGACAACAGCAACCAGGTCATTCACTGCCCCGACTTGCATACACCATGAACTTGCTGGGGAACAGCACAGCAGCCCTAATCCAGCCACTCAGCAACAAAAACAGACCTGCTCCCTCTCCCAGTGAGGAGTAAATCAAAACTGCTTCCTAACCTGTATGGACTACACACTTTTGTTTCATACAATGATAGAATGGTTGGGGTTGGAAGGGACCTTCAAGACCATCCAGTCCCAACCCCCTGCATGGGCAGGGACACCTCCCACCAGCCCAGGCTGCTCCAAGCCCCATCCAACCTGCCCTTCAACACTGCCAGGGATGGGGCAGCCACAGCTTCCCTGGGCAACCTGGGCCAGGCTCTCACCACCCTCACACTCCACAATTCCCTCCTCATGTCTCACCTCAATCTCCCCTCCTCCAGTTTTCATCCATTCCCCCTTGTCCTCTCCCTCCCTGCCCTTGTCCCAAGTCCCTCCCCAGCTTTCCTGGAGCCCCTTCAGGCCCTGGAAGCTGCTCTAAGGTCTCCCTGGAGCCTTCTCTTCTCCAGGCTAAACACCCCAACTCTCCCAGCCTGGCTCCAGAGCAGAGCTGCTCCAGCCCAAGGATCATCTCTGTGGCCTCCTCTGGACTCTCTCCCACAGCTCCATGTCCTTCTTATGCTGGGGGCTCCAGAATTGGACAATTTCCTTTAACAGCTTCACCATCTTAGGAATCTTTCCATAGATAACTTTTTCAAGTCACACCACACAGCATGCTCTGCCAGCTAGACTTCACATCTTATCCAGCAACATAATAATTTAAGACAATAAAAACTAATGTCATTGATAATATGGCAACATTTATAATTTATTATTTTCATTTATTTATCAACTGTCAGTGACATAAACATGGTTATCAGCTTACTTGAACATAAGACTTTTTTTTCCCTGCTCTTTCAACTGAAAAAGTGAGAAGAATCCAGTTTAAAACAAAACAAAATAAAAGGCCAAGAACTTTTCAATTCTGCTGTTTTTCCTCCTCTTTCCTCCCCATTGAATCCCATTCTGTGCCACTCAGTAGTTGAGAAAAGAAACAGATTGTGCCACAAAAGCTGATCCTCTGCTGGACAATTACAGCAATTCCTGTTCTGCTTCACTGCTGGTGGAGCAGTGCTGAGTCACTTGGAAGCCACACAGGGTGTTCACCCCGAGACCACCACAAGTCTTGCTGTGTGGAAACCACTCAGCCTTGAAATTGAAGCACGTGTTGTATTTATCAGTTATGATCTCTGAGGCCCCTCCCAACCCAAACCATTCTGTGATCCTATGAGTGTCTCTCCAGTCAGAAACAGGTATCACTCGTGACGCAAGGCAAAAAGAGCAGCAGATTGTGCCTTATCACTTAATTACCTGGTGTGTTCATAGAACCACAGAACCATTCAGGCTGGAAAAGCCCCCTGGGATCACCCAGTCCAACCATCAACCCTACTCTACAAAGTTCTCCCCTAAACCACATCCACACCACCCTTCAACACACCCAGGGATGGTGACTCCACCACCTCCCTGGGCAGCCCATCCCAGGGTCTGACCACTCTTGCTGGGAATAAATGTTTCCTAAATTTTGGAATGTGAGGGTTGGGTTGGTTGCTTTTTTTAATAGCTAGGATGTCTACTCATGTGCAGTATCAGGTTGATTCACAGTTCAGATTATTGGATTAGGTAAAAAAATGTCTTTGATACTTAAACACTCTCCTTCTGCCTCTTTCATCCCACAACACAGCATCACACCACCCAAAGGGAATGGCACTCAGGGCTATACTCTGGAGGATCAGCATTTCCTGAACCTGGACTCACAAAAGAGCTTTCAATGCTAAGTGTAGACAAGCAGGTGCTTTATTGTAACTCCCTGGAGATCACGGAATGTCTACCAACGTGTCCTCCTTCAGT